TATTAAGCTGTATGAATCAATTATTATGAAATTCCAGAAAAGGCAACATTATGGAGACAGAAAGCAGTTGGTGGCTGCCAGAGACTATGGGTGGGGCCAGAAGATTGCCTGCCAAGAGGAATGAGGGTAACTTTTGCAACGATGGCAATGTCCTATATCATGATCGTAGTAGTTTTACAGCAATGCACACATTTGTCAAAACCCGTTGAACTGTAACATTAAAATTGGTAGAATTTATTATATGTAAATTATACCATAAATAAAGCTAACTTTAAAATAAGGAGGTGGAAGAATCTATATATATATTGCTGTAGAAGGATTTTCGAGATATATTGGTAAATGAAAACTACACAGTGCAGACAACACGCGCGGTGGGCTTCCTTTTGAGGAAGCATCAATATAGGTTATGTCAGGTGGAAACATTTTCCCTCCACCACCCTTCTCACATCTCCCTTTTGTTCAAATCTTCTTGCATAGACATTTTCATTTCCAATTCCGTTGCCATTCCCTTGTCTCCTTCTTCAACCCTATACCCTTGGTCAGGTCTTTGTATCCACTCTCTTGGAGACAGTAGGCTGACCTCAACAAAATCACAGTTTGCTTTCGTAGCCATTTCTCTCACTCCTTGACCGTACTCTCTGAGACCTCAGCTTCAAAGAAAACTCCTGCCTGATCATACCCTTGCTTAGTGATTTTTCATGGGACTCCCAGAGCTTACAGGATTTCTTCCACATTCCTTAGAGTAGGCTACGAAGGTCTACAGAAAGAGGTGCAAAGAGCCTGTAGCTCCTTGCTCTGCTACCATTCTTGCCGTCTGTTTTGTGAGTGCATCCATTGCATAAAATCACTTCCTCTTTCTCAGGAATTATATGCTTCATGATCTCATTATTTTGCAAATATATCTGCTTGGACCTTTTCTATCACTTCCTTCTCTTCTTTGCCTGGCAAACTCTCCCTCAATCTGAATGAAACAGGTCAAGTGTTACCTCTTCTGTGAAAATTTCCCTTCTTTTCTTCTGTGATTTATTGCCATTTAAAATATTTTGCGTGTGGGCCTCCCCGGTGGCGCAGCGGTTGAGCGCTGGGTTGCGAAGCTGCCCGCGGCCTCTGTGGCGCCGGTTTGATCCCCGGCTGCTCCCTGGCCACCGGAGGAGGGTCCCACATGGCGCGCAGACCTCTCCTGCCGCCCGCTGCTCCCCTCAGCAGTGTACTTCAGTCCTTCTGCCTGCTCTGCTCCCCACTCTGGCTCTGGTGAATTCTTTCACCCTCCTGCGCTTCTGACTGTACCCAGTGCATGTATAAACAAAACAAACAAACAAATAAATAAATAAATAAAATGCCTCTATTAAAAAAAAAATCTTTAAAAAAAATATTTTGCGTGGATGAAAATTGACATACAATTATTATTTTCTGAAGAGGCAGACTTTCCAGATAGGGATGAAGAAGGCATAAAAATTACCCAGATGACCTCTACACTCACAGATGTTTCTCTGTACGGGAACCTCTTTCAGTAAATGTTACAACTATGCCTGCACAGGATAAGACCCTCTTGCTTTTTTCCCAACACTCACCACCATGTTATAGATACCTTCTTGTGTCAACACAAGAAGAGAAAGGTCGGTGTATTTTTCATAGCTGCGTAGTATTCTGTTTCACATATCATTTCCTTAATTGGTTTCCTGTGGTGGATGCACATTAAATTCTTTCTACTTGTTAGATTATTCTAAGCAATGTTGTAATGAGCATTCCATTGTGCTTTGAAATGTCTTGTCAGCTATCCCTGATCACATTGAAACATCATTTTCTGTGTGCCTGTCTTTCCCATAAGACTGTTATTTGTTCCCTGAGGGTAGAAACCATTATTTCTCTTGTAATCTCCAGAACTATGTGGAGTTCTAGAAGGAGCTTAATATATATTGTTGAAAGAAAGAAGAAATAAATGAAGGAGTACTTGTATAGCTGGTTGCACATATGTCTCATCACACATGTCTTCAGCTCTACTAGCTTTTCATTGACCTTGAGTCTGATAGCTCTTTGGAATTATTTAATCCCCTCCTTGTTTCTAACCTCTCTCTACACATGTCATTACCAACTGACATAAAGTCAATATGTAACTTCAAGAATTAGAATGTGGCCAAACCTTGACTCCAGCATAGATTTTAGCTGGCCTCCGCAATAGATTTTATAAATTGCAGAGAAAAAATGCAGATACCTGACACCCTTTGCCCTACCCTAAGCAGAGATGAATTATTAAAACTGAAATTGTCAATTACAAGAAAAAAGCACATGGTCTGTGTGTTGCATACTATTTACAGCTGTTGCCCGTTATAGGTCCTCTGGTATGCTGTTTGCTGCTACAACTGAATAGTACCATCCATTTAATTCACCAATACGACTGCAAAATTGTCATAAATCACTGAGAGGTAGAGAGGAAAGTCAACTAGGAATGGCTAAAATGCTGCTTATGTCTTCATGAAAACCTACAGCTTTCTCCATTTGCTTCTTCATAATACCTAGAATCGCCCGCCAGGTATATAACAATATAGCAGATGTAAACCCGACTCTCTAAAGATAAAAATACAAAACAAAACAAAAACACATTGATGATATCTGCTTGCAAAGACTGCATTCGGGTTATGGACAGCCCATGCTCAACATTGTACTGGGTATCTCAGACAATAGGAACCAACTGGCTTAGATAGTGAGAATGTTGGTTGGTGCTGAAAATTTGTAAGAGCTTAAGCTATTTTTTATTTCTTCTTGCTGGGCTGGGAGCATTTACTATTGTTGTTCAATATGCTGTAAATGCATACAGTTCAAAAACCACAAAGAAAGTGATATGGAATTATAGAACTGAAAATAGGCTACTGATTGGGTACAAATTCATCAAGCCTCTTTATTTCTCAACATGCTTTTTATTGACTTGCCAATGCAGTTTGCTCTGGAAGCAGTGAAAAGTGATTGTGAGCAAATAATATGGTGGGAAAGCTGACCTTCACTTAACTTCAACAGTGCTCAGCTAGCTGTCTGTATCTCTCCCCAGTGACATGCTTATTTAGTTAAATCCCAATTAGTGAATCGTTAGTCTTATGTGGAACACACCTGATCCAATATGCAATTTCTACAGAAACTCATCTCCGATGGAAGACATGGACCTGGAAGCTGAACTCTGGAAATGCAGCTCTGAGCTTTGCTCTCTGATTTGTATGCCGTGGTCTCTCCGAATAAACACATGTATAATCTCCAATAATGCCAATTGTTTTTCTTAAGTGTGGTCATGGCTGAGTCACTCTCCTGCTGAAAAAACATCAGGGGCTATTTCTGAAAGTCATGGCACTCAGCTCTTCTTTTTTGGATCGTACATATCAAACACTCTTAATCCAATTCTCTTTTTCACTTCCCCCCCTACCCAAATCCAGACAGCACACCTGAATGCATGCCACTTGAGGTAACCTTATTATTGGAATGACTTTAAACCTGATCTCATATGAGTTAGACTACGGTCTAGTGGGCTGTAAGAGAAGAAGGGTAGATCGCCGGTGCTAAGTAGTGGTTTGCTGGTCTCAACTACTCAGGAGGTTGGCAAAACCTGAAGGTGCAGGATACCTGCTTCAGGAAAATATCAAGAACCCAGGGTCTTTCTGTCTGCAGGGTCTCCATCTTTAGCAAGTGACAGATTCTCAATGTGAATTCCTCACTTGAAAGTCATATCTGTCTATAGTCATGGCAGGGAGAAACTGTTTCCTTTAATCAACTTTCCAGACTCAACCCATTTGCTGCTAGTTACGCTCCTGTCACACAGCTACCCCCACCAACAAGAGGCTCCATGAAGCTGGTGTTTTAATCTGGGCAAGCTCTTCCCTCCAGATCATCAGGGGTCTGGTAGTAAGAAGACAGGGGAGGTCAGGCAACCAGCAGTTTGTGCCATATTTGTTTAATTCCTAGGGATTTGAATGTTATGGGAAAAAAATAATTAGTGTAACTTTTAGGTTGCTTAGAGGCAAGTAGTTTAGAAGTGATGAGGAATTGGATGAGGATACAAAAGGAAGCGTCGGAAAAGCACAGAAACCAAGCAAGAGTAGACATGGCAAATTGATAGTAAGATGCGTCATCTCCCCTCTTTTTCCCCAAGTGTCTGGGAGACATACATCCCCAGTAGACCAAAACAAAAATTTCACCTGATCCCAGACGTGGCTCAGAATATGTCTCAACACAACAATGTTCTCGATGTCTTCTATCAACAGAGCAAGACAAGCCTCTCTTTTTCTCATGAGTGCCGATCCATTCTTGCCCTGGGATTGCACTGGGGGTGTTTCCCTGCTTCCCTGTGCAAAGCGAAGTCTTCCAACTCCGTGCGTGTTCTCTTTTGTCAGCTCTTTCTCAAGGATGGGTTCCGCATCCTTCCTTTGTCAAGTTCCCAATACAAGTTCCTTATTCACTCCTGGAGTCAATTTCTACTGGAGGGGCCTGTCCTACCTGCCGACTTTATAACTGAGAAGGCAGGGGAGTGACACATAATGGATAGCGAGCAATTTGCCACGTTTCATATCCAATTCCTTTTGTTTTTACAACAACCAGCCAAGGTCAGTATCACTGCCCCATTCTACAGATGAGAAAAGAGCCTCGGAGAAATGAAATCATCTGCCTATGAGTTTGCATTTGGCGAGGAAGACAAGATTTCAGCTCCGATCCCTAACATCGAACATCATGCTGGGGAGTTCACTGTTGCTTTCGTGGTCTTGATAAGATCTGCTTCTTGGCTTCTTTTCATGCCACTAAATATTATGATTTGGGTACTAACCTTAATTGTTAACTTTATACTATACATGCAAATTATGGAAGCCATAAGGCAGTCTGTGGATTAATATATTATAGCTGAACTATATATTACAAACAATCAACCTTTTTGGACTTCCTCCAGGTGGCCGTCATTCTGGATACTGTCTTCCTGGGAATGGAAATATTTCAAGGTTTAATTTTCACTTGTCCCTTTTTTATAGGGCAGCGTCCATACCAAGTGATCACTGCCCGAGTTCACCCAGGAGAGAGCAATGCCAGCTGGGTGATGAAAGGGGCCCTGGAGTTCCTGGTCAGTGATGACCCTGTGGCCAAGCTCTTGAGGGAAAACTTCATTTTCAAGATCATCCCCATGCTCAACCCAGATGGTGTCATCAATGGCAAGTATGTCCAGTGCCTGCCCACGTGGGGCTTGATTTGTGTCACCATAGAAACACATGGATGTGATTGGGGAGGCCTTGGTCTTCTGGAAGGCTTAAGTTCTTATGGGCACCGTTATCTAGTACAAATAACAACATAGTCTCTATACACATAGATGTCAGTCTCATATATTTTGAGTAGAAAAGTATAGATTCACAGCTGATTAATGCCAGAAAGGTTCTTAGAAAGAATCAAGCCCAAAGCTCCTTTTCAAAAAGAGAGAATTGGTGTCCAGGTGAATCAAGTGACTTTCTCAGGTCCCATGGTGGGTCAGTGGCAAAGTTAGGGCTCAACGTGATCTCTTCCCAGTTGAGAGCCGTGCTTTTATTTCCATATTAATGTTTACTGTAGAGAAATCTTTACTCTGAGTTGTACTTTATGGGATTCCACATGCACCTAACATAAGGCTGTCACATTCTCTAAAAGACGTGGCTGATGTGGCTGAAAAATGCCTGTGGGGTGGCTATAAGTAGGGTGACTGATATGGTCAGTTGAAAGAGAAGCTGGGTAGCGCCTGTTCCCACCCCACCCTGACATGCTTCCTGACCTGCCTCAGAACGTGGAATGGGGAACAGAACCTCTTGAGTCGGAGGAGCTCTGTTATAAGGGGTCAGCTAAGACCCCAATGTCAGAGCTGGTCCCCAAGATCAAATAAGAGCAGGGGGTGACAGGGTGAACATTTACAAATACCTGTCTGAGACTTCACGGAAAGAGACTACGGCTCCTTCCTATGGTAACAGATGGTCCTTCTTACTATAGAAATGGACTTTTCCTGTGGAAAAAGTAGACTAAGATAAACAGAAAAATTGAAAGAAAAATATTTTCAAAATCTGAACATGAAGACCTTACAATTTATTGTAAGAATTAAAGAAACAAAAGCACGTTTGGGAAACTGAGAAAATAGAGCAACATTACAAAGGAGAATTAAAGAGATAAAATGAAAATTATAACAGATACGAAAACAAAATCTCAAAGTGTTAAAGTCAAAATGACTTAAATAAGAATAGTTTAAGAAGGATAAGTAATTGATTATCTTTCTTAATGTTTAAGAAAGATAAGATAGTAATTAATTTAAGAACAAAATATTAAACAGATGATGATAGGCTAGCTTCAAAGGATAAACACAAAAGAGAATATTGATGTTAAAATGGTTAAAATATAAAGTTGATAAAATATAAAAAGCGGATCAGAATAAATTCCAATGATAAGATATGTTAAACTATGCCAGAATGCAAGCAAGTTAAAGCTATAGGCCATAAAAATAAAACTTCAATAGATTCAAAATAAAAATGGAAAGAAAGATAAGTAAGTCATCCATGTATTTCCCATCAAGTTTTCTGGTTTTGTAGCTTCTAGACTTCATTTTCTTTGATGGAGTCATTTTGTGGGTGGAGACTAGGGTCCATCCTCGAGTCTGGGGGGTCTTCAGGCACCTCTGACGAGCCAGCACCAAGCCCTTCACTAAGGGGCATTGACCAGGCCCCTGGTAGCAGTTAGACTTCTCAGATCCCAAGCTGCATAAGGACCCAGCAGTGTTCTCTCCTGGCCCAACAGAAGTCAGTTGCCCCTTGCCATGTTCTCCTTAGCTTCAAAGAACAGTCTCGGACATCAGCAAATGTTCCTTCCTGCATGAGAAGTCAAGGATTTTACTAGCAAGCTTCTGAATGTCAATGGATGGGAAACAACTATGCAAACCATTTTTTAAGGACATGATCCCATTTTAATGTTTTCATTTAAGATGGTTCTTTCCCGAGGTTTCTGCTTCTATTGAGTTGTCTGGGGTTTGGTAGAGAATGCAAACAGCACTGGGTTTAGAGATGAAACTCTAGTTTGGAATTCTGTCTCTTTCCCCAGACTACAGCTGGCCCCTGATGAGCATGGAGGTTAGGGACTCCGACCCCAACACAGTTGAAAATCCAAGTATGACTTGTGATCAGCCCCTCCATATTTGTGGGTTCTGCATCCCAATTTGAAGCAGCTGACATCCGCCATTGGTTGAACATGAATGTGGCACTCTTAGATAGAAAAATAAATCTGCATCTAAGTGGAACTGACATTCAAGTTGGTGTTGTCAAATCAGTTTTCTCATGCTGGAGGAGGAAGATAATTCGCACACTGTTGGCCTGTTTGTGAAAAGGGCTCTTAAGCCCAGATAGTAATATTCAAACTCAGGTATTATAGTCGCTTCTATTTCACATGCTTATAGCTCCCAATCAGGGGCTTGATCCTCGTCTTGGGTTGAAAGGTTGGTGTGGCATCTTCCTGGCCTGGGTAGACATTATTTCCAGCTCACAGCTGGTTGCTATGACAGGCCAGCTTCTTCTCAGTGACATTGCCATTCATCATCATTACCATTATTTATGAGGAGTAAAATCAGCAAGCTTCTTGCAGCATGCAGTTCAAAGCACTTTGTAGACCATTTGGATTACCCAAACAATTTTGGCTTAAAGGACTTGGGCATCCTGGCATTGTCCTGCTGATAGGAGGATTTGCAGGTCATAGCACATCACTATTGAAACACTTGACACTCATGGGTATGACATGACACAATTAAAGGGTTTATAAGTCTCAGCGGATGAGTCTTTGGACTGTGCTAACTTATGGTTCATCTGACTTGCACTTGAACTTTCTTGGCTTTCTGCTTCAGTCATGCCCATTCCATTGTCCGTATTTTGGTATTTGTCTGTGTTTTGATTTTCGCCTTATGAATTTTACCCACTTTGGGGTATCCCATGGATAAGACCAAATCCCCCCTTAACATGCCTTAAATTCCCCATGTAAAGTGTTTTCCATGTTTGATGTCATTTACCCAAACATAGGTTGTCATTTCTGGTGTTTCTATCTCATTTATTTTTTTCTGGGCATATTCTTATTAATAGACTTTTAAAGGTAACAGGGCTACCTTTGGTGTGGCATGATCAGCAAAAAGCATTCTTTGCATAGAGATTAGAGAACTAGAACTTGCTACTTCACTATCAAACTATGCTTTCCTTTCACAAGTCTTCATGTGACCCCATGAGCTTGCAGGAATGTGTAGAAAGTACAATAACTTCCTGTTGTGGAGATGGTGGCGGAGTCCTTGAGGAAAGTTAGAGGATTTTGATATCTGTGATCAGGGAGACAACCAGGGTTTTTGAGCAAAAACATAGAGGGTCTTATCAGGCCAAAGATCCCTTAGCAACACATTTCTGGGACTGGAAATCAACACAAAGGATGGTTTTCAAAAGAAACATCCTGCCATCTTGCTGACCTGCTGGTCTGTGTTCTAAGTAGTCTTGGAGAATAAAAGCAGTGATCTCTTAGCTCTTTCAGTTTCTTGCAAGGTGAGATAAAGGAACACATAGTATCAGGAGTAGAAGTGATACTTGTGGCTTGATTATGCAGGAAACAGAGAGAGGGTGGGTGGTTCCAGAGCTGCTTCAAAGATTGGCATGATGTGTAAGTGAGGGATGGAAGACATCTTGCCTGACCCCCATTTTTTGGACTTTGGTTGTTGGGTAGACGGGAGTGATAAAATCATTTTTATAAAGTCAGCACACAACTCATCATTTTATTCACAGGCGAAACAGGGCGTATTGATTCTTAGTATATATAGAACTCCAAAAACATGATTATCTTCTTCGAAGGCATCGTGGAACAGAAACAATCAACAGTAAAAAAACGAAGGACATACTGTAAGTACCCACCAGGGTATTAAGAAGTAATAGCTGAATACTCCAGGGGAAACAAATAAAAGTAAAACCCAGATAAAAATCCTTGACAATTTAAGCTATCTGGGACTATTTAAAGTTAGTGCCAATAGTCGTATACTCCACTGTGGGTGGTGAAAGCTTTATTTTATTTCAATAAGAGCACTCACAAGCTTTATCTAAAAAAAAAAAAATTCAGGCCAAGAAAGAACCTTGCTCTTTTACATATGTTTCCTTATCATAATTATGACCAGATACATGGACTAAGTAAGGTCTTTAGCCCATTTTTCTAGACATGGAGACTTGAGTATCTGGGGGTGAGTGCTTGGGTGCAGTTTAAACAGCTGGTATTACAGAGAAAGGATTAAAACTTTTTTCTTGTCTATACTACATTTCTGTAGGGATTTAAGGAAACTGGAATAAAAGAAACTTATTTATTTCTTTTATTTCTTTTATTTCTTTTATTAGTTCTTATGTATAATTTAGTCCCAGTCCTTCAAATAATAGGGAAAGTGAGACTAAAGAGGTAAAATGAGTTATCCAAGATCACATAGCTAGCTAAACGCAGAAATGCATGAAAAATTGCCTAGAGAATTAAAATATCAGGTGCACGCTCACAGGTGCACACACAGACACACTCAGGGCTATAGGGTCAGGTGATGACATGCTGGGATTTGAGCCCAGTCTGTCTAGCTCAAAAGCTGTATTCATTTTAGCCAATTAGCTCTTCCCAACCTCAGATGGAGATGCAAGTAGAAGCTCAGCCCCATCTGCTGATTGTCTATGAAATCAACCTTGTTGATCCAAACCTTCATATCCAGTGTACCTGGATTAAGCCAAAACAAGGCCTACCAGCTCTCTGTGATTTCGACCCAGTATGAATGAATGGGTCCATCCTCCATCTTCTTTCATGGAACAGACTTGGGTCTCAGCAATCTGCCTTGTCCCACTAGCTTCCTCCTCTGAAGAATACATCCTTGCCTGCTGCTGCTAGGTTTCGTCAGGTTACTATTTCACTCCTCATTCCTTAATATGCTTTCATTCAACTAACCACTCAGAATCACAAAGGACTTCTATTCTCCCCATCAGGCTCACTTTTACCTTTGCACTGAGCTATGCCTCTTCCCTTCTGTTTTCATATATTCAGGGCTTCCCTCTGAGGTGACCTTAGTCCCAGCTATTTAATGTATTTCAGACCTTTTCAGTATAATAACCTGTAGCAGTTGTTCTCAGACTTTTGGATTTCACAGGTCAGTTACATTAAAGAATAAACCA